GAGCAGTATATACTTATGTTCAGAGCAGTATATACGTATGTTCAGAGCAGTATATACGTATGTTCAGAGCAGTACATACTTATGTTCAGAGCAGTATATACTTATGTCAGAGCGTTATTTACTTATGTTCACAGCATTATACGTATGTTCAGAGCAGTATATACTTATGTCAGAGCGTTATTTACTTATGTTCACAGCATTATACGTATGTTCAGAGCAGTATATACTTATGTTCAGAACATTATATACTTATGTTCAGAGCAGTACATACTTATGTTCAGAACATTATATACTTATGTTCAGAGCAGTACATACTTATGTTCAGAACATTATATACTTATGTTCAGAACATTTTACTTATGTTCAGAACATTTTACTTATGTTCAGAGCGTTATTTACTCATGTTCAGAACAGTATATACTTATGCTCATTTCTTTATATCTAAACTGCAGTTTGATCTGGATTTGTTTTATGCATGCCGTACGACATTGGTATTTCTACGTACTGGTGTTAGTCATAGTTCTATGTATACATGATATAAATACTTTTCTAAATCCATTGCACTTAATTTCAGGTTGTAAGAATAAGTTTTGAAGGAAATTTAACAAAAACGATTTTTTAAAAACCCTATAAAATATGGCATTTGTAAATTCTAGATAAGGTCTACAACATTTCTCTTGAAATAAGATTTAAGACCTTGACATGAACAACATAATGAGTGCTGGGTTTTTAGAAATGATCCTCAGTAGAATCATTATTTGTTTCGATAATTGTCGATGATAAAATTACATTAAAAAGCTTTGCCTGGTAACACATCCAACAGACTACTGAAGAGTAATGGAAGTTTTAAGTGTAAGATGGCGAAACGAATCTGTATCAGTTTTCAAAGCCAAACATGTTCCTCATTATTTAACACTTGATTGATACAAATTTAATCCAGACACTAACTGGAACCTACCTCTGAACGTAAGCTGTTTTAAACATTTACAAAAAGATTGACTGGTCTGAAAACTATAGTAAACTGGCATTATCCAAAACTTGTTTTATTTCAAAAGGAAAATGGGAGCTGAGGTTCATATTTTCATGTGGCAACATTATTAATAACTGGGATTTTTAGCTTTAAATTTTTAAGATGTGTTAAGCTAACTCTGTTAAAGAGCGCATGTTTTAAAGGAGGAAGTGGGGTTATTACCTGTCGGGTCGTCTGTTCTGTGAGGCATATATCAGAAAAACACGTGCATCCATCTTTTATGAGCAGGTGGATCTGAAATGGGGAATGCCAGCTAGATGGTGATACCAGGAACTCTTGATATCGTTCATCATAACATATTAATTCATTACAGATGGGGTTTTCATTAGGCTTGATTCACGGTGTTTAACAGTCGTACTGAGTATGACGTCACTGTGACAACAGTGGCTAGGTGATGTTTAATCACTTCCTTAGTTGTGTACTGGTTATTCAAAATAATATATAACGACAGCGAGGACAAGAGAAAAGAATACATAATTAGTCGATATAAAAACTTAGGCATAACCACCGATCATATTAACGAGCAGCAACTACGTCTAACTGAATATCGCACTAAAACTAGATTATTTAAGGCATATAACATTTGCTTTCTGTATTTGGTACATCCATGATGGTTGATGTTTTATGGTGGCATATTATCTATCAGCGGGATTCTCACGCATTAGTAATGACGTAATAAAATATTCCATAACATTTCTATGGTATTGTTTATAAAGATTATTTCTTATATTTTTTTTTTACATTTGTTAAGAAAAAGGGATTTTCCAACTTGTTCCAGATCGGCGTGTATAAAACTATTGTTCTGGCTGTTTACATGATTACCGTAAGTCTGGCACACGCAGCTTCCTTAGAGACACACTGGCGTGTTCAGAACGGAACATGGCAATACGGACACATTTATAAAACATATGAGTGGAAAGCACTTCCATAACAATTACCGAGAAGCACTTTCCTCTTTGTCCATCAGTAGCTTCAATTGGTGCTTGGTGCTTTGACAAATTAGTTGAAGGTACAACATAAATGACGAGCGAAATCATTAACTGGAACTCATAAACAATCTTTCAAATGGAAGGAAAGAGTAACGATCTTAGTTCTGTTTGTAAACCGAGGCATCTTTTGGGAACGGCCTGGGTTGTACTTGTATACTGGGATATCTTAATTCAACTGGTGTAGCGGCCCATGTTAGGGAATTGCCTTAGGTTTAAAAGGTTTAGGCCCTTAGCATCACTGACGAGTTCTAGAAGGACCACACAACTGTATTAAGCAGTTCATACACGATTTGGCGCGGGTGAATCTTATTCTAAATATGTGTTATTTAGAAGATATAATTCGCGTGTGTGTCTTTTATACAGCAATCTTCTCACATACCGGGGCCACGATAAAGAATTGTCTTCATTTACTGGTATAACAGGCCATGGTCGAGAATTGTCCAACTTCTGTTGATATATCAGGTCAGGTCACGATAGGATACTGTCTTAGTTCAAATGGTATAAGAGGCCACGATAGGGAATTGTCTAAATTCTACTAGTAAAACGGGCTACGAAAGGAAATTGTAGTACTACTTGCATAACCGGCAACGGAAGGGAACTGTCCTTATGCTACTGGTACAACGGGCTACTATAGGGATTCACCTTAGTTCTATTTATAGATAGGGGAGCTTTGATAATGATCTTATTTCTTATTACGAGCTAGAGCGCTATAGAGAATGTTCTTAGTTTTATTTAATCTACTTAAAATTCGATTCAATTTTACGGCGTATGAGTAGAGTCATACCAGATTGAAATAGAAATATCATATTTAGTAGAGTTAATACGCGGAAAAAACTATGATTTTATGTTTTGTTCAGCTTATATCTGCAACGAGCTTGGCTTTGATACGAGTTGGGTCACTTTTTATACGAGTTGGGTCACTTTGCTTGTGATGAAAAAAATATGAAGTGAAACGGAAAATATTTCAAATTGACACCATTACTACATGATTTCTTACATCGGTCCTCTATAGAATCATGTAAACCAAGTGGCCTTTTCGTTTACTTGTTTTGCTGTTTTTTCACAAGCTGCATGATTTTATATTTTCAAATTTAAGAAAGTCATATGTGGTCCTCGAAAGTTGCAGAAGGAAAAGATAATTTATAAGCTTCAACTGCAAATGGCACGTGTCGTCTTGTACCATCACCACCATTTTTTTACTTCTGTATCTTCTTTGCGTTTGTATTGCTGCACACTAACAGGTACAATTGACTGATAAGAGGTACATGAGGCGCCCTCTACTGCCAAGTCAGTATCACCGTGTCATTGTTCACGTGTAGGTTTAATAGCCACAACCAATTTACAGATGCTCAAGAACGTATTTTTTCTGACATCTGTTCAGCGTCTTAATTATATCTTTATGCTGTATGCACACATGCGCTTGCGGTTGTACCAGATTTATGATTTACATTTGGCAACCGTTCAACTACTTTATACCTGAGCTCTATAACGAGCATATGGGAATTAATTAAAGCATAACATTTTTATCAATGTAAATTATAAAGAAAACTCTCATGAGATATTAAAAATCAGATTCCAAGCCGTCAAGTTTTGTCAGGTAAAATAGTTAACATGCATTATATGTTCGTTGCTGAAATTTTCATGACATGTTCAGGTTTCTTCTGCTATTTATACAAAATTACGTGCATTACAAATATTTTTATCACATCTGCACATTTGGTTTACAAGACCACTTTGGAATGGCTGTGATATTTTGCAGAGCATTGCATGTTCTTTTATACACGGGCACATGTAAAACCAATACACAAATGTAAATTCACGTTCCGTGCAAATTTACATTTCGCCAGATTTACAAGTATTCCATCCATGTTACCATTGCCCAAAAATCACATGCATTGCGCGGCACTCATGTTTGATTGAAACATCAGACAGGATGGAATCGGTCACACCAAGCTACATATAGCAGAAACAGGCAATTTAAATTTGTTTACGTTTACGGTGGAAGTGCCTTTAAATTGGCAGGTTATTATAGTAACACGTGTACATGTTCCTTTACACGGATTGCTGTTGGCTGCGAACATTCTATAATGGTTACTTGTCATTAAATTTAACTTTTTCTCGCATCCGTTACGCATTATCACATTTTGTTCCCGATGGAAGTTCACATGTAGGCTTACTGTACAAACGGGGAAGTTCCACGGAGTCAGATAGGTGACCTAATACATATTCAAGCCCGTCGGAAAATCGAACTCAGGTCGTCGTGATAAAGGGCTTTTGTGTTATTACCGTCGTGGTTTTATCATAAATTATACGATAGATGGAATTCTGATATATATGGTTGTCTCGTCTTTCTAGTTGTCGTTGTTTTCAGGTAAAACTCGTTCTTTACCTTCTTCCGTTGGTTGTGAATCTCACAAAAGTGAGATTATCTTTTCATAAAGCAGATAACTAAGCATGTTAGGCATTGCGAGAGTTCTATTTCTTACTTTTACTTTCTACAGGTAAGATCGGGCGTCACACTTTTCTAGTTGGGCATCATACCATTTGTCCTACCATGTAACTTTTGCTCGTAAGAATATCTATCTGACGGCATTATAGGTGCTGAAAACGCTGTCTTTACTTATTTAAGCATCTATCATTCTTGTGATTTTATATCTAGCTAAGAATGTCAAGGAAATACTGGTGATGAATTGTGTATATTATTAAAGAATACATAATGCTTACTTGAATATTTATTTTTCCTGCACGTTTTTCAGAAACATGTATATACCTTATGGGCTTTACAAGATAGACCTCTTTGCATAATTGTCCTCATTTATAGATGTTATACACTGCTCCCACAATTTCCCTCCAACGATGACTTTGTTACAGATTAAAACTGGCAGAAAAGAATACATAATATCCATTTTATCTTGACAGTAAGAATCAGAGTGAATTGATATCAGCTCCTATGGTTTACAAACTGCTCATGTATATTTCAGGACGTGTTCCTGCTGCAGACTCCCGGCGGAGGAGGGTATGGTACCCAAGAAAGTGCTGATTCTATTGATGAGGACGAAGGCAGAAGGAAAAGGAGGAAGGTGGACGTACCATCTAGTGTCGTGGGGCGCGGCAGTGTTTATGAGTACAAAAGAACACAAGAGTCCGCGTAATGTATTTGATATTGTATCTCAAAGTGTCATCGTGATAACCATAGATGAAAGAAAAAAAATCATTCTGGTGTTCACGCAGTTGAAATCCATCTTCAGAACCATACACGCATTTAATTGAATATATATAAGAATTGTCTCCCTCTGCAGACTGTCGTTGACAGGAATGTTTTCAGTATGTTTCTACATATTTCCTGAAATGTGAACATTCATACATATCCGGTAGAAATAAAGCATGTTCTAAGAAGTAATAATTTGGTGGAGTTTTTCAGACGTTAGACGTGTTTTTGATTTTCACATTTCCCCCCTCCTTTTTAAGACACGGAAAATATTTCATTTAGATATTCAGGTCCAGGTTATGTTATACAGTGATTATATTAGATATGAAATGATTACTTCTCTACATTTTGGTTTACTTCTGTGACCACCTGAAGCGTATTGGTGCTAGATATAATAGAAAAGTGATGGTACGAAAACCTCACATGTCTAAGAAAAGTTTAGCCTACAAAGTTTAGTTCAAAGTCGAAAAAATGTAACGTTATTTGATCCTTAACAATTTACATTGGTGTATCATAACCATCGCAATTACTGTGTTTATCAAGCAACTGCTTTTTCAGATTCATGTAAAGGTTTTGTTGCCCTAGAAGAATATTGTTCATTTGCCCAATCATTCATTACTTTTAAGCCATTGTTTACTGATTATATGATTCGGTAGGACGTTTAATATGTGATTTTTATTTCAAATTAGTTAGAAATAACAAAAGTTTAGTATATCAATAATTCATTTCTTAATATCACTGTAGGATATCGACTGTTATGTATTTTAGATTTATATTAATTTTTTTTATTCATTCATTCATTATTGTGGTATTGTTGCATGTACATAAATGCAGGTGATAGAAATCAGTCGTACATTTCAACTGTAACCATTCTTTGCTTTAAATCGACATGCGTGTCTGTAAAGGGAAAATAAAGTGTTGCTCCAGACTCCGTGTTTTGTTTTGTCTGACTATACATCTACATCAACCATTGAAAGAAATTTTCAACATGCATTCGAGGCAAACTTTTATTTGAAAATATGGCATAGATGAGTTTTCCCTGTTGTACAGAAAAGATGAATAATACGATTCGTTAACAGTGAACAAAACTATTATATCCAAATTGGTCCTTATAAGAAGTGTATATATATATATACTGACGCATAGGGAACAAATAAAAGGAGATGTCAAATGGGCCTGTGTTGCTTAAATGTTGTTAATGGTTTCTAAAAAAATATTAACATTATGCGTCATTAACGTTCAAATTGTGTCTGATAAATTTAGACAAACATTGAACTCTAGCATGCTTACGTTGCAGGTTTGTAGGTAGTTAATTTATATGTATTAATGAATTTGACGAGTAGAGCTAAATGTTTTTCGCTTAATATCAGAAACCTATTAGAAACATATCATGATTCGAGGACTTTCGGTTAATCGAAAAAAAAGTTAAAGTGTTATAACTACACGTAGTAAATTTGACCGCTGTGAGGCCTTGAATAAGAGAGAAAGTCATTTCATTTCACAACTGGGAACTTACAAGCCAAATATCATCATTCTAGGTCTTTTTGTTAATAATTAAATTATGTCTACAATGAACATGGGTATAGCTCTTTACTTTTAACAAGTATGTCTGTTTTTTCACTGGAAAATGTGATATTTTGGTAAGTTCAAAAGACCCACAAAGGAATGTCGCCTTCCAATTCAAATTTAGAATCAGGCAGGGTACATTCAAAACTGAATCATAAAGCTGTTTCGTACTTCTAGGACAGTGAGGCTGAGGGCCTTTATTGGTCGAAATCAATATCTTAAACCAGCTGTGGTACTGCACTAGGCCATTAATTTTAATCAATCCAATCTAGTGTTTTGTTCATTTACAATGTCAAGCTTATTCTCTGGAATCTGTAAAGACAAGTAAAGACAATCAGAAGAAGTATAAATGTTTTAACATATCTGATATCTGTTACCTTGAATATGGGCCAAACTTATCTCTTTTCCAAGACTTTGTTGGGCTTCATCCAAGCAGCTAAGTTGTCTTTTATTCACTTGACTGGTTATTGCTAAGTCTTTTAAAAGAGAATGTTGACAACAGAAGCTGTACCATGACATAAATCCATTTAGCTCTTGACTGATGTAAAACCTTCTGTCAATTCGTGGTTTGCGTTCGATTTTGTTTTTAATCACTTCACTTTAAATGATGGAATGGAAGATTTAGATATCTAAGATTATTAATAGTAATTTGAAATTATTGATTTAAGAACGCAAATTTGTTAACCATGATCAACGATCACTCTGAATAACCTAATGTTGATATTGGTAAACTGTATGATAAACACATTAAATTGCAACACTTATATAAATCCATGCCAATCTTTTACTTAATGCTGTGTACTATTTATAGTTTCGACTTGATGATATTGATATTTGACCTGACGTCCGCAAAAAAATTTCCATCATCTCGTTTTAAAATATTCTTTTCTACAAACTTACCTGTATTCATCGAATACACGTCGGATTTTTTTAAAATAAAAAGATAATGTTATTGAAAACAAAACTGATTTGCATATTGCTTAGAAAAAATGGCTAATGTCTTACAAAAATATATTTGAAGAACAGTTGTCGATAAACTATGATCATATTTCAGACGTGTATGTAACTCCATTTCACTTTAATCAGTAACACCTGATCAGCGCATTCTTTTTCCTGACGAGGTATTAATAATGACAAATCGTTTTATACATGGAAGCAGCAGTTTACTCACATATACATCGTATTGTATTATTGTGTAGCTAACTTTCTCCCGACAATAAATTGCATTGCTGTTTTTAGATCTTATAAAATTGTCTAAAACTTACACAACATTTCTTTATCGGGGTCTTAAATACTGTATTGCTGTAATTTGTCATTGTGGAATATTTATCTTTGAGTAGAATCACACATTGTTTTCCCTGAAAAAATTATGTACATGCCAAATATAAGGTAACCGCAAACGGAAGTGTGTGTATAATGTACTCATTTCATCTCACAACGTGTTCATTTTCTTGAAGTTATTGACAAATAATGAATATACATCAACAAAACATATTTATTTCCTTCCTCAATCCACCATTGAAACATTGCTTTGTTGCTGCCATCCAGGAATACAGGGCTTGCCAGGGGTATCTCACCTGATGATTAATGACGAGCGAGGAAATGTTTTAGCCATTCTTCTATAGTTTGTGTAGAGAGAAACAATTTACATGTCTCGGCTTGTATGTGCAAAATTCCTATAGGGCGAGGAACAGGTTGAGATGTATATTCAAGAGAGCGGGCACTCATCCTAAGTATGTGTACAAGTGGGTCTAATTCACCAGACAACGCAGGCCTGCTACCGCTGATAATTTACAAATAAGTCTTAGTTTGTTTCAAGTCTATTCCTATTGTTATCTTCCCACAGTAATTAACAACTCCACACATGGTTTCAGTTAGTTCGATAGTTGGTTTATCCATATTAACATAATATGATTTACTCATATAGATAACACTGTTGTGACTCTTTCAGATTGCTCCAGTGCAGAAAAAGAACATATACCTTATGGTAATTACGTACATTATATATTAACCATGCTTGTTATATGCCAATAAAACAGTAATTTACATTTCATGTGACCACTGTAATGTTATGAATATTTTTCTGTACATTATACAATGTTGTTATCGTTGTATATATTGTACATTGTTGTACTACTGATACATGATGTGATTGTTGTACAAAATGTATATATTGCTGTGATAGTTGTAGACACTATGTGATGTTTTGTACCAACTTTGTATTTTCATGTGGGCGTTGTCGCTTTTGTTTTTATGTTATGGCGATCGTTGTATATTGTATAATATCTCAACACTGTTGTTATCATATGTGTTTATATTCTACATTGTTGTGATCGTCATAGTGTACACTGTAGTGATACATATTCTACATTGTTGTGATCGTCATAGTGTACACTGTAGTGATACATATTCTACATTGTTGTGATCGTCATAGTGTACACTGTAGTGATACATATTCTACATTGTTGTGATCGTCATAGTGTACACTGTAGTGATACATATTCTACATTGTTGTGATCGTCATAGTGTACACTGTAGTGATACATATTCTACATTGTTGTGATCGTCATAGTGTACACTGTAGTGATACATATTCTACATTGTTGTGATCGTCATAGTGTACACTGTAGTGATACATATTCTACATTGTTGTGATCGTCATAGTGTACACTGTAGTGATACATATTCTACATTGTTGTGATCGTCATAGTGTACACTGTAGTGATACATATTCTACATTGTTGTGATCGTCATAGTGTACACTGTAGTGATACATATTCTACATTGTTGTGATCGTCATAGTGTACACTGTAGTGATACATATTCTACATTCGTCATAGTGTACACTGTTGTGATATAGTGTATAGTGTACACTGTAGTGATACATATTCTACATTGTTGTGATCGTCATAGTGTACACTGTAGTGATACATATTCTACATTGTTGTGATCGTCATAGTGTACACTGTAGTGATACATATTCTACATTGTTGTGATCGTCATAGTGTACACTGTAGTGATACATATTCTACATTGTTGTGATCGTCATAGTGTACACTGTAGTGATACATAGTGATACATATTCTACATTGTTGTGATCGTCATAGTGTACACTGTAGTGATACATATTACATACATTGTTGTGATCGTCATAGTGTACACTGTAGTGATACATATTCTACATTGTTGTGATCGTCATAGTGTACACTGTAGTGATACATATTCTACATTGTTGTGATCGTCATAGTGTACACTGTAGTGATACATATTCTACATTGTTGTGATCGTCATAGTGTACACTGTAGTGATACATATTCTACATTGTTGAGATCGTCATAGTGTACACTGTAGTGATACATATTCTACATTGTTGTGATCGTCATAGTGTACACTGTAGTGATACATATTCTACATTGTTGTGATCGTCATAGTGTACACTGTAGTGATACATATTCTACATTGTTGTGATCGTCATAGTGTACACTGTAGTGATACATATTCTACATTGTTGTGATCGTCATAGTGTACACTGTAGTGATACATATTCTACATTGTTGTGATCGTCATAGTGTACACTGTAGTGATACATATTCTACATTGTTGTGATCGTCATAGTGTACACTGTAGTGATACATATTCTACATTGTTGTGATCGTCATAGTGTACACTGTAGTGATACATGTTGTGTGATATAGTGTACACTGTAGTGACATTGTTGTGTGATCGTCATAGTGTACACTGTAGTGATACATATTCTACATTGTTGTGATCGTCATAGTGTACACTGTAGTGATAGTGATACACATTCTACATTGTTGTGATCGTCATAGTGTACACTGTAGTGATACATATTCTACATTGTTGTGATCGTCATAGTGTACACTGTAGTGATACATATTCTACACTGTTGTGATCGTCATAGTGTACACTGTAGTGATACATATTCTACATTGTTGTGATCGTCATAGTGTACACTGTAGTGATACATATTCTACATTGTTGTGATCGTCATAGTGTACACTGTAGTGATACATATTCTACATTGTTGTGATCGTCATAGTGTACACTGTAGTGATACATATTCTACATTGTTGTGATCGTCATAGTGTACACTGTAGTGATAGTGATATATATTCTACATTGTTGTGATCGTCATAGTGTGCACTGTAGTGATGCATATTCTACATTGTTGTGATCGTCATAGTGTACACTGTAGTGATACATATTCTACATTGTTGAGATCGTCATAGTGTACACTGTAGTGATACATACATTGTTGTGATCGTCATAGTGTACACTGTAGTGATACATATTCTACATTGTTGTGATCGTCATAGTGTACACTGTAGTGATACATATTCT